TCACTTGTGTGCGGCCCCCGACTGATTTTTCGGTGGGTCAGCGGCCCCCGGCCCAACACAGGCTCCCACCCCTGGGCCCAGCCTTCCCAGGCATGTTAGACGGGCGTCTTCCCCCCAGTCCTCGGGGATGGTTTCCAGCAGGGCGGTTGGCCTCTGCGCGAAGAGCAGTCCTGGGGTCTGATTCAGCTCTCGCCTGCCTTGGTGTAAATCAGGCGTGATTCCGCGGGGGGAGGGAGAGGGCGGACGATATCACAGGTGAGAGCAGACTCCTGCCCTCCATTTGACTCCTGCTCATCCCCCCAGCCCTGGGAGAGGGGATTGTGTAACCCCAGCCATGAGGAAGCCAAAGCGGAGTCCACGCAGCCTCTCCCTGAGCCAGCATCTGGGAAAGCCCTCTGCCAGGTACGGCCCAAGGGTGCCAACAGCTCTGCAGGAGGAGCTATAGCGGGTACCTGCCACTCGGGGCAAGGCAAAGCTGTCGAGGGCAGACCTGGGGACGCCACCCGCTCGGCAGGAGGGGCTAGGGGGGGTCCCTGCCACTCGGGGCAAGGCAAAGCTGTCGAGGGCAGACATGGGCACCCCATTCCAGACGGAGCGCGGCTTCTCTTCCTCTCCCCCCATGGGGGTTCGCCCTGACATCACCCCACTCCCGAAAGGACTCCATCCACGTGGGAACTCCCCCAAACATGGGCGCCTTAGTCAGCTCTTCTTGCCGCAGGGGGTGGGGACTTCATGAACTCTGGAGGCCTTTGCACCCCTGACAAGCACCCAGGACTTGGAAGGTGACGGTCCGGAGATGGAGGTGAAGGGGTCCCCCTGGCTTTGGGGAGAAGGAAGGATTTGGGGCGTGGGAAATGGAGCTGTTCTCCAGGCCCCCTTTGCTTGAACACTGTCAGCCCCCACCCTTCACCACACAGCATGGTCGGCCCCTCACAGCTGTTGCTCTGGGGGACGTTTTTAGAAATCTTGCCCCCTCTCCCCAACATTTCCATGAAGAGTCATCCCAGAAATGTTAAAAGCGCCCAGGTCCGTGTCTAATTTTTCCTCTGCCCTTTTCTTCCGCGCCCAGCCACGGAGACGGATGCCTGGCAGGGCCCGCAAAGAAACGGAGCAAGTATTTAAAAACATAAATTAAAACAAATTGCATTTTTATATCACAAATAAGGGCAGTTTTATCGTTTTTATTGCATAACAACCATTAATGAAGTGCAGTTTCAGGCGCCTTAATTGCTCGGAGACTAAAGTTCAATTCATATCTTTAGTGCACACGGGAAGATGCAATGTGTCATGTTCACGTACCTGGCATATTAGAAATGTAAATAAATTTATGGTCACTATTAGGAAAATGGAAGAGAGGGATCTTATTTATCCAATCTATTTATATACGAGGGAACTCTTGGAGGTTAAATAGCAGAGGGATAAAGAGGCCCTATAAGAAAATCAAAGATATTCACAAACGCGGCCCATAATAACCCTCCGGTTACAGCCAGCCGGCCCCATGCTACCTATCTAGATTGCATGGCCTCCATCTTAATGAACTTACACCTCTGCGAGGCTGGGAACGTTCCTTCCTCCCCATGCATGTATGGGAAGCTGCAGCACAGGGGAAGAGCTGGCAAAGCTAGGACCCAGCCCCACGCTCCTGAGCCCCCAGGCTTGTGCCGGTTCTCAGGACAGAGCTCACAACCTACCACACAAAACACGCAATTAACCCAGGAGGGGAAAAAAATAAGTGCAAAACTCAGTGGCCCCTGGTGCTGCTCCGCTGTTCCAAAAATACACCCCTCCCCTAATATTTCCCCCCTTAGCGATCTTCCCCACCTCCGGGCCCTGCCCCCCATTGTGGAAGCAAAGGCACTGGGGGCAGGGCAGGTCTCAGCTGTGGGAAACTCCTGTAATGTTTAACATGGGAACAAAAGGGGCCTGGGTTTTTTTCTTCAGCTGTAAAGGCAGGCACAGCCCCCAGGAAGGTTAACTACTCAGCCCTGTTATCTGTGCTCCCTAAAGAATAACCCCAGTGCAGCAGGAGCCAGGGCCTGACCCGGGCTCTTTAATTTTTAACCAATTCCAGTTGTTGTGGCTTGGGAATGGAGCTGTCCTGCCTGGGGATGGCGCCTGTGCCCGAAAGAAACCCTGCTCCCCGTGGGACAGGGTGGCTCCTGCAGAGCGGACTGAGCCAGGGGGGCCTGTCACATGCATAGCTGGAGGGATGCCCCAGCCCCCATAGCAGGGTGGAAGTAACAGTGAAAACCCTACAGGGATCACTCAGTGCGAGGAGTGTCCCAGCTTTGCAGAACCTGAGCTCCCTGCCCAGCTTTGGGATGCAGGAGGGAGGTCGGGCAGCCTGGGGCATAAATCCAGCTGCAAATGAAGGTGGCCGGAGGCAGCTGTCAGGAGTCTTGGCATCCCCCTGTGGGCAAAGGGGCAAGCCCCCACCCCTGCTTTTCGTAAGAGAGGTGCCCAGATCCTGCAGGGTGCGTGGGGGGGTAGGTCCCAGAGCCAGCTCCCAAGGGGGGCAGGGAATGTCTGGGTGTCTGTGGGTCTCTGCAGCCTCAGCCCTTCCCCCTCTCGCCCCCCCCCCCCCCCC